GGGCCCTGGTTGGGTCTATGCATGCAAGAGCTTTTTATTTTTATTTCATTGTTATTTTCAATCCTCACCCGTGGATATTTTCATATTGATTTCTAGAGAGAGAGAGACAGAGAGAAACATCGATGTGAGAGAAACACCTCGATGGGTTGCCACCTACACGCACCCCAACCAGGGCCCCGGGCCGGGGAGGACCCTGCCACCGAGGTCTGTGCCCTTGACCGGGATTCGAACCCGGGACCCTTGGGTCCGCAGGCCAGCGCTCTGTCCACTAGGACCCCATGGGAACACTCGATAGAGATGGACACGGTGACCAAGGGAGTGTGTGGTCCAGGACACGGGTTCTTCGTCAGGCAGGACTGGGCCCCGTGTGCCTGGGGGGCAAAGACACAGAACACGGGCCTGTCCCAGGGGCGGCCGCTCCCACGTGTGGTTTTCCGGCGCCTTCTCTGCCCTCAGGCGCTCCGGTCACCTCGCCACCACCTCCCTGGGTGTCCGCACCCCACTGAGTCCAATAGGGCTGTCAGGACTAAGCCCTGGGCGTCCACTGGGTAATCCCACATTGAAAAGGGAATTAATCCAGCCCTGGCTGGTGTCGCTCAGTGGATAGAGCTTCGGCCTGTGGACTTGAAGGGTCCCAGGTTCGATTCCCGGTCAAGGGCACATGCCCGGGTTGTGGCTCGATATATATATTTTTTTAAAAAAACAAAACTGAGTGGCTTTTATCATAACGCTTGGATAATTTTGAGATCGTCTTTTTATTAACTATATTAATTAACTTTTTAAAGTTTTATTGTTCTCATTCTTTTTTAAACCTTTCCTTGGCCGAATTTCGCTTGTTGGTTTTGTTTTAACACGTGTTTCCTGGATGATTCTATCTTTCTTTCCCTCTCCCTTTTTCTCTGAAATCCATTATTAAATTTATTTTTTAAAAAAAGAGGCAGGCTGCTGCTAAGTTGGGGTGGGGGGAGGTGGTTGGGGCCTTTTTATTGATAAGTATGGGGCACACGAATGCTAGCGGCTGCTTGTTTGAGAGATTTTAGCCAAGTCTGAATCCTGAGCGAGGACAGGCCATTGGTATGAAAAGCAGGTGCCCGGTTGACCTGTGTAGTCGTTGCTCTCAGGAGCTGCTCAGCTACCTCAACGCTACCTGGCATTCCTCTCCACCCACCCTCCCTCGCCCAGCCCCACCTAGTCTGTTTCCATGGCCGGTTTTCTGTTTGTCCCGTACCCGCCTCCCTGCATCTCTGTCTTATTTCTCCTGCAGCCTCCACTCCCCTGGCCTGTCTGACATCAGGAGAATCTTTACACAATAACACAACACCCTACGCAAGCCAGACCCACCCACGCACTTCCCTGCTCTCAGCCATGTGACATGCTGCTGGCCATGGTGTAAATAATTCACACCGTCCTAGCTGGTTTGGCTCAGTGGATAGAGCGTCGGCCTGCGGACTGAAGGGTCCCG